GGGGGGGGGGGGGGGGGGGGAGGGGAGGGACTGCTGGGGGAAGGAGCGGCTAGAGCCTGTGGGCCCAACCTGGGCCGGAGCTCCTCACCCCACACGCACACTCGCCAGGGAGATCTACCAAATAGATGGCTGATGTAGACTGGTAGGAGGCAGCAGCGTGTACGGGTTGAGCCTCAGGATGTACCTTTTTCTGCTCAAAAGGATTCTTCAGGATGGCCAAGTAAAAAATACATTCCTTGGCACAGACCCATTTGAAATTAGTTGGCAGCTGACGGTCTGAAGAAGCTGCTGCCATGTCCTGTGGCTTTTGCACATCTGTCTGTGAATGGCAGAAGTGCACTGGACACCAGGCCAGCTGGTCCTGGCTCCAGGGCGCCAGACTGCTTGCAGAGGCTCTGATCCTTGACCCTGGCACCCATCAGCAGGGCTAGGACTGCAGCTCCCAGCATCCCCTGCCTTCTTCCCCAACCCTTCCTCATCCTCATGTTCAGAAATGGCCCTCCAGCTGCCCACCGAGAGTCTTCTCCCCCCAAGAGGACAGCCTTGCTTCAAGCCTTGGGGAGCCCCACCTGGACACTCGCCCCCGAAGGTCCCCCAGGCCGGACAGCTGCCGCATCTCCAAGTTCTTCAGGGTCGAGCTGGTTCCGTAACTCAGGTTATCCCTGACACGTATCTGCTCCTGCAGAACCTGGCATGAGAAGGGCAGGAAATGTGAGAATGAGCTCCCCCCGCGGTGCCTAGAGGGGAGAGAAGGGGGAATAGGGAGCTGTCAACGCTTCCTGCACCCGCAGGCCCCTTCTGTGTGTCGCACAACCATCTCCAAGAAGGGACGGAGGCGAGCCCGTCTGGGAGCACAGGGCAAAAAGAGCAGCGTGGTCAGCGGCAGTCAGCTGTGAGGGGAAAGACCTACGGGCAGGGAGAGGACACGGCCTCCACACATGCACCGCCTTGGGCCATCGGCCTGGCCGCGGCGGAAGCAAGGGGTGGTCAGGGAGGCCTTTGCGTTCCCAGCCGGCTGCTGCTCCCAGCGCAGCGTCGCTCAGCCTCGGGGAACTTGGGGAGTTGGCGTCCACGGGCCCGAAAGTCGCCGAGGTGGAGAGAGCGTGACCCAGACAGGTTCACCCCAGGGGCCAGGGCGCAACCTTTGCTCTGGTCAAGCAGGAGCCCACGAAGGCAGCGGAGCCGCTCCTGACCTCGATGTCCCGGTTCAGCTGCCTGACGATGGCGGTGATGTTGCGGATGTGCTCCTCCAGCAGCTGCCTGGCCAGCCGGTCACCGCCCCCCTTGTTCTGCATCCGGTGCAGCGTGGAGACAATGTCCTCCTTGATGCGGAAGGCGTGCTCCACCAGTGCGGCTGTGGTCTTCTCATGGCTGAGGATCCTGTCCTCCAGCTGGTCCACCAGGCGGGCTGAGCCCAGAGGAACCGCTGTCAGGGCTTGGCTGTGCAGCGGGAAGTTCCGGATCCGCCTGCAGGAGGCAGCGACGGAGAGGCAGCAGCGGGGCTGGTGGGACGGAGCAGCCCCCGGGTGTGGCCGGGGCGCCGCCCGCTCCCCTCCCAGCTGCCGACTGGTCTGCCGGAGCTCTCGGCTCCTGGCCGGCTTCTGCTACGGTTGGGTGGGCGCTGGGCCTCTTCTGCCAAGGCCAGGAGAGGGGCAGCAGGGCCAAGTGTGTGGCCTGGCAGCCGCCGCCGCCGCTGCCAGAAGCCCACAGGCAGGACGAACAGCCCTGCCCAGCCAGGAAGATTTCCCAGGCCCTCCATCTCAATCCCCCCTTGCTGGGCAGAGCCCACAGAAGCACCATTCCCTCCCCCGCCCTCCTCAGAGGTCTTGGGGTACCTTTCGGTTGGGCCAAGCGTTGAGAAGTTTGGGCTTCTCTGGGCCATCTCCTCTTTCCGCGGTTTTATGCCTGTTGGGAAAGAGCAACTTGTGAACGGAGCCGGCTTGCCAGGCAGGCTCAGGTGTCCCCAGTTCTTCCTGAGAACCAAACATTATGCATTTATTTACTAGACTAGGGTGCTAGTCTAATAAATAGACGCAAAGACACGATAAGCTGGAGGGTCAGTCAGGGAGGGAGGGAGGAAAGATCCCAGAGGTTGGTGGGAGAAAGCGGAGCCAGGCTGGAAGGGTGCTAAAGAACATTAATCAGCCAGTGTGGAAAGATGAGAGCTGTAGTCCAAGATGGTTCTGGACTACACCGGGAGGGAGGGAGGGAGGGAGTCAGGCAGCCCCCCAAGAGACAGGCAGCTCCTGTTTCCTGCCCCAGCCCTGACCAATCCCCACCTCTTGTTTTGGCCTTCCTGGGGCCAACAGAAAAACAAGCCTCCTCTGACTTAAGCCCATCTCCTTTCCTTCGCCTCCACGGGAGTTCCCATCCTTCGAGGCTGTTTTGGAAAAGAGGAGCAAGGCACACGTTCCGGGGAGCAGAAAATCCTGACTCGGCAACATTCAAGAGGCTCAACAAATTCAAAGCCAGCTGGAGGGAGAATAAAATCCCCGAGGTCGAGGTCGTTGCGTGAGCATCTTCCCCACTCTCGAGGGGCTTTCTCAAGAAAGGCTCATCTACAGGGGCCAAGAAGAACCGGGGAGGGAGCCCAACTAACACTGCCTTAAGATCCTGAAAGGAAGGATGGGGTGCCAGTCTGGTAAATAAACAGAAAAACATGATAGCCAGCGGGGAGAAGAGCATCCGGGGTGGGGTGGGGCATCAGTTCGACACCCCGGATGACAGGGGCCTGACCGGCACTTCAAGGGCTTCCAAGCTGGAAGGGAGACGTGGAAGAGGGAGTGAATGCAGGGGAAGGAACGCTCTGGCATCTCCCGCTGGGGTCGACGTGAACGGTGGAGAGACCCCTTTCCTGGGGAAAACAGAGGAACGATCAGCCCTTCGCTTTGGGGTCCTGGGGGCGGGGCGGGGGCAGAGCAGAGGGATCCACCCTGAGTTGCGGGAAGAGCCTTCCACCAAGCGCAGGAGCGGAGGAAGGAGCCTCGGAGGCAGGCGAATCAGCCGGTTGCCCAAGAAACCTCGGAGGAAGGGGAGGAGGCAGCGGGAGGAGGGCGGAGGGGGAGGCGGTGGTGCAGGAAGGTCGGGCCCCAGGGAAAGAGGGACAGGTCCCAAGGGAAGTGGCGGCCGGATTGTGCCTGGGGCCTCTTCCCTGGTTTGGCTACCAGGTCCCAACGCGGAGGACCCCCTCCTGGGGACCGCAGCACCCAGCAGGGCCCAGGAAGCAGGAGGGCAGGCAACGTGGGGCCGGGGGGAGAGGGCACCTGTGCAATCCGAGTCAGCCTGCCCAACCCTCAGCGGGCCACCTTGTCCGTCAGGAGCACCAGGAGACCAAGAGCCACCTTAAGACAGCTTGACTTGCTTGGCAACGCAGGTGCCAGCTTGAAGGCAGGATCTGCGGCCAGGTGGGCCCTGCCTGGAGTTGCCAGCGGGCCATAAACCTGCGGGGGACGTTTAGCTCTCCGGGGATGGCTGGATGAACTGGGCTCCAACCCCCCAAATCCCCAGCTGGCCTGGGCCCTACAGGCTGGAATTACGGAAGTTAAAGTCCAATGCACAGGCTGGCTTAGGCACCAATTGAAGACAGGCTTCCTCGGGCAGCCTTTTTAGGAGCTGTTTTGGCCCCTGACAGTTGCTGGTGCTCTTTCTGTCCTTGCTACTTTTCTAACTGTTTGTTTTGGGGTGCATATATTAAGGCACCGGCGCTCAGTTCATGGCACTGATGGACCTGGGGTTGAAGTGCCTGTATCAAAGGGCACACCTCGCCTAAGGTGAGATGCTTGGAGTGCGTCTTCCTAGGTTTTCTCTAAAGCAAAGCATGCAGAACCAAGGGCAGGAGGGGCATATTTTGACACACCCAGCTGGCATGACAACCAATTGGCCCCAGGAAACATCCCCATAAGAGGGTCCACCCCACCGCCTGCCAGCCTGGAATGCCTGAAATTCTCCATGCGGGTCTCTCGGTCGGTTGGCTGAGCCGATACCCAAGCGCAGCAGGGAGGCTGACCGTCCCCTCGCCCGCTGTGGAAACGGGCACCTGCCACTATCAAGGATAGACCTGGGCTCCCCCCTAGGGTGGTGACTGTGCAGCAGCAGCCCGGGGTGTCCCAAAGGCCCCTGAGGGATTCGGGCAGATCTGACCCACGGGTGACCTCCTACTCACAGGGAGCCCTTCCCTCAAGCACCAAAATCTTCATTTCCAGCCTGCGAAGGCGGCCTCGTTAGCGACCCATCACACCTTTGCACACGAGCAGAGAGCAATGGGGCGAAGAGGAATGCCAGACTCCAGAGCTGCCCTCCCCAGCCACCACGGCCCTCTCCCCGCTCACGCTTCTCTTTCTCCAGGGCCTGCGCTGAGCTGATCCCCTAGGAAGACCCATTCCTGCCCTTCCCCCCATTTTTAGGGCCACCACAATGCAGAACGACCTTTGGTTCTCCCCCAGAAGATTCCCCCCCCAAAAAAGGCAGCTCAGCAACTCACAGCACCACATGCCACAGCTTTCCACATGATGCTGTTCCCAACACCTCAAACTTGAGCGCTCGGAGGGAAAAGCATCACCGTCGGGAACATCGCGGCACGATTGAGGGG